TGGGAGGAGAGATGAGCCAGATCGCCTGGGCAGCCCACACGCCCCATAGCAGCGCGGTTTGGCTGGATTCGTGAACCTGTCTTAAGGTGTCTGTCCCGGAGCCTGCAATTCCTCGCCCCGAAGCCCGTCACTTCCCTGCTCCTTCTGTGTCACACAGCTCCCTTCACACCGGTAGCTTTAGCCAGACACCCTGGCGGCCTCCCCGTCTGCACCGGCCCTTCCCCCATGTCCAGACTGTCCCCACCACGTGTGGCCGGTTTACTGCCAGGAACATCCCCGATCTGTTCATGTCTGCCCATCTCCACTGTACCCAAGCCTCAGTTATTTACACTTAAGTAATTAAAATGAAACAGAACTGAACGCTTGTTCCTGTCTCACTAGCCGCATTTCAAGTGCTGAGTCGTCGCGCATGCAACCAGAGGCTGTAAGTAACCAAGAGGGACCGTCACCTGCTGTCCCGTACTGTGGGTGGCATTTTTCTAAGCGTCGTACATTGATCAGCCGTTTAATCCTCTGAAGAGGCCTGTGAGGTAAGTACTGGCGTTATCCCCACTGCAGTGACAAAGGGCTCAGATGGGCAAGCGACCTGCCCACTGTGGCTCTCCGAGTTTGCCCAGCGCACCTGCCACACACTGAGGACACCCGGAGCCCAGCAGCGGGGCCATGGGGTTTGGCCTCCGTGCTCTGAGCCGTCACCCCGAGTGTTCCACTCCCCAACTCATGCACATAGATCAGACCTGGGGTCATGGGGACGCGTTGCTTCCAGCCCCCACCTGCCGGGTAGAAATGCCGCCATGTTATTAGAGGATTTCAGCAGTCAGGGGGCCGTGGGGATTGGGGTGTTATTTACAGCAATTCTGGAGGAGTTCATGTAAGACTGAACACACTTACCGCGGCTTATAATCTCCACGTAAGACTAAGAATCATCATTTATTAGGATCAGAATTTTAGATAATACATCTCTGCCCCCAGGTAGACTCTGAATCCATCTTTCAATGAGTAGACTTCTCCGACAAAGAGCGGGAGCAATTTACACGTGCAGATGAACTCCTAAATTACCAGTTTGGTGTAGAAGTCTTTTCTAAAGTGGATGTAGCACTTTCCGCTTCAGGTGAATGTATAAATATTAACTATCCGTTCCAGCTTCACGACCGGATAAAAAAAATACACGCAGCATAAAAGAAAAACACACGCAGGCACCAGCGAACTCTGGTGCACGTGGACCTAAACGTGTTGTGCATGTGCCTTTTGATGTTGATGGCACTTGCGAATTTCAGAAGGTCTCAGCCATCCAGCTGAGCACCTGTAATTTCTAGTTGCAGAAGCTGGGACCTAACGAGGCAAGTAGGTTCCCGAAGGTCACACAAGTGGTGCTGCAGTGCTGGGGTCGACCTCAGTAAGCAGCGTCCTTGAGCCTGATGCACAGAAAACTCCAGACTCCCCCGGCCCTCCCTCGTTCAGCCTGGACCGCCCGTTCACTTGCTCCCACCTCCTCTTCATGTCCTGAAAATGAACGGTTCGTGCTTAAACGTACAGTCCAGTGTGGTTTGGCCAGTGCAGAGGGTAAAGGAGCTATCTTCACTTTTTTCAAATCTTTTTATTGAAGTGCAACACACATATGAAAAATGCATATGTAAGTGTGCACATTGGTGAATGTTCACAAACCCAACACACTTATAACCAATATCAAGATCAAGAAACAACGTGACCAACAGCCCAGAAATGTACGCGTGTCCGTAAATAACATATCACAGGCTTTCTGTAAATGCAGCAGAGACTGCAGCAGCCCTTTAAGGCAGCTTTGTTGCACCACCAATGCGATTCTGTCCCCTCCGTCCAGCGCCATCTTATTAAAACTGGTCCGTTGTGATTGTGTAGTCCCCTGTCAGGACGGGGCTCTCCCCTGGACAAGGTTTCTGTCTTGCTCGACTGTCTCCAGCACCGAGAACGCGGCTTGGCNCTCCCCTGGACAAGGTTTCTGTCTTGCTCGACTGTCTCCAGCACCGAGAACGCGGCTTGGCCTCTGGGAGCTGCTGGCTGGGTCTGAGAGGAAGGCACTGCATGCGCCAAACAGACATCTCAGTGAACTTCCACTCACCAGACGAAGGTCACTTCTAGTCAGGGCCGCACGTGAATCACCGTTCACACCAGGATGCTTCTGAAGAAAAGGTGGCATTATCAATCTTTACGATGGGACGCTGGGCACAGATCGAGACTGTTCTGCACAGACTCGGCTGTGTGGCCGTCCTCCTTGTGACCCAGGTTTGGAAAGCTGAACCTCTTGTCACCTCCCACAGAGTGATGGAGACGCAAAAGATGACTCAGAGCCCATGTATTCAGAGCAGTGAGAAGCCCGAAGGGACTGCACCGAGGAAAACTCCTTCAAGAAAGGAGAGCCCAGGCACAGCCCCGGGTCAGTTTTTGCTTCAGTTTTTATTGCAAAGACAAGAAAGTTACAGAAGAGAAACAGGTGGTTAATCAATCATAGTGAAAACACGAACAAACTGGCTACGTGACAATCTTCATTAAAGCAGGTGTGGTTTAAAATAGTTCAAGCAATTTACTGTCAAAAGGAGTCATAAAACTAAGCTGTGTGACGTATAGAAAGAAACAATGAGATAATCACCCAAGTGCGTAACTCCCCGAGAAACTCAAAGAAACAGCTTAGGGTAAGATGTGGAACGTCCCCCAAGCACTAACCAGCAGAATATCCTTGGGCCAGCCCGGTGGCGCACTGC